TCGGTGAAGGAGAGGAAGACCCTCAACCAGGTGGACTGACACGGTGACTGCTGCTTTTGTGTGTCAGGAAGTGTGAGGATGGCGCAGGAAAGGACTGCATTCAGATCTTTTGTTCATAGCATCGCTATGAGTCGTACTTGACTTGACTACAGCTAACAAAAACAACAATATCATAGACCAATTTTCAGGAAGAAATTTGGTCACAAAAGTTAAGAATAATTAGTAATATCCCCTTGTATGGGTGTGTGTGTGTGTGTGTGTGTGTGTGTGTGTGTGTTGTGTACTGTAGAGTTGGAACTGACCCAAAGCTGACCCTCCAGTGGGTTTTCAGAGGCAGTTAATCGAATGAGAGGAGACTAACCATCCTCCCGCAGAGCTGCTGGTAGATTCGAACTGCATCCCTTCAGGATTGCAGTGCAGCTTCTTACCTCTAGGCCACCAGAGCTCCTTAATATCCCCTTAGATGAAAATACAATGTTTAGAATTATACAAAGCAGATGCTTTTATTCTACCGGCATTGGAGACAAAGACACTGAGGTTATAAGCTTTTTTGTTAACAGTAAAGAGACAAATAAATAGTTTAGTCAATGTGAGATATGTTTACTATGTATTGTCAGTTTAAAACCTCATATACTGTAATGAGAAGAATCTATTCCTTTATGACTTAGTACTACCAAAGGATTGGTCACAGTCAACTTCAAGTATGATATATTTCATTTGCTATATAACATAAATATCATTTAGATCTGATGCTATTTAAAAGTACAGAACAAACTAAAATAGTGCTAAGCAAAGAAGCAAATACTAATTCCAAACTCTATCTCTAAGTACATGTTCACAGACCTTCATCTGAGTCTTTTTGTTTTAAAAACAGTTCTGGTAATCTTTTTTCCCAGTTAACAATAGATAAGAAGGGACAAGATAGAAGCGTGAGAATGTTAGAAATATATGCAGTGATACAAGCAACCAAAATAAAACCAAAAAGACCAAACATATACACATTGGGGAGGGGGGGAAGACCTAAGAACTCTATTGAGCTACAAACTCGACGAGAGTAGGAGTTGTGTTTATTAGTCTACACTATATGCTAACATCATACCTAACATGGCATCTAGCACATGATAAATGCTCCCGAAACACCTGATCAACAACTGCATGTAGAATAAACTCAAGAGTTAAGATCCTGGATCTATATTATTCTTCCAAAGGTAAGTCCTGTATATCTCAACCCTGAGACTGAGTTTAGATAAACAGACAGGCATTCTTAATAATGACATCAACTTTTCAAAATATTTTTTAAAAGTTAAATTGTTTAGAATGATCCGTTTATAAAGGCAGAAGAGAAATAGTGAAAACAACAATACAAAAGTATGCTGGAAACAACCCAAGTGCCCATCAACAAACGAATGAATAGAGAAGATTTGGTATTTTCACACAAATGAATACTATGCAGCATTGAAAAACAAGGAACTCATGCAATATTAATCAAAATGGGTGACCCTGGAGGACACTATGCTGAGTGAAATATCTCAGTAGCAAAGGGACAAATATTGCATGGTGCCATTGCTGTAAAATGGGACTGATATCAGGATTGTGGTAAGACTGAGAAAAACTGGATAAATTGTGTATACTGCATTGAAACAGGTGAGGGAGAGAATAATTTAAAAGTGATGTATGATAGGGTATTATGGTTATCACAAGAGTCCGCAATTAAGGTTGCATAGTGGAATGTACTTGGGACGGTGGGAGGGGTGTGGGGGGATTGTGTACTGGGGAGAGAGTGTTTATTTTACTTTTCAAAGAGAAGAGCAAACTGGGGTGGGGGGTGGGGCTGGGCAGGGAGGGAATGGAAATCCAAAATCTCTGTAAATGTTCATTTAAATTATTTTAAAAAATTTTTAAAACCCCCAAAAGGACAAATATTGCATAAATGCCACTGTTGTAAAACGGGACTGACATTAGGGTTGAGGGAAGACAGAAAAGGAGAAAAGGAATGATGTATATTGCCTTTAAAACAGATGAGGGAGAGAACTGTTTAAAACGGATATATGAACGGGTATTCTTGTTATTACAGGAGTCCAGAGTGAAGGTTGCACAGTGGAGTCGATTTGGAGGGAGGGATTGCATAACAATGAAAGAATTTTTCTTTCTTTTCAAGGAGAAAAGTGAATTGGGGGGGGAGGGGATGGGTAGGGAGAAAAGTGCAACAATAAATGACTGGAAACCCTAAGTCTCTGTAAACTTTCATTAAAATTAATTAAAAAAATACATGAAATCATAAAAAAAGTATGTTGACTCTTTAAACTTTCATTCAAAGCACAAACAAAAAGCATAAATAAAAGTAGATGCCAAATGGTGGTGATAAGCCTCAGTTATCTGAAATGTTAATAAAGATTATTTTATGCTCCAGTCATATGGGATAAATAGATTTTGATATAAAATTGAGGGCTGTTAAAATGAAATCATTTGTCCATTACTGGTTCTTGGGCAAAGTAAAACTTTATTAATTTTAATGCTATTAAGTTTAAATAATATATAAAGAGTCATGAGGAACAACTATAGTGTGTACATAGCAATAACGACTACTTACAAAGCAAAAATATAGCTAAACATAACAGTATCTCATAATAGGTAGAAAAACTCACACATTCAGTTCACTATAAACAGCATTCTGGAGTTTCTTCTCCCAACCTGTTTTTTAAAAAACAGTAAAATAGAAAATTAATTTAAAAGATAAGTACATATTATAATTAAACTAATCTCACAAAAACTTTGGCATATTCATTGTAAAAGTACTATGTAACTGCTAATCACTGTGCAAAGTATCATTTTGGAATTATTTACTCTATCTCTTGGCTAACACTGAGTAACAATGTTGGCAACATGAATGATATTTTGTTCAACATAAATCATCACTGCATACTTTCAGGATGAAAAGAACATTTCCTCCTCCATCTGATTAATGTACTCAGAGAATGTAAAAATCTTTGGATGCTACAGTATTCATGCTCTGAGGAAATGTGCCAAGAGAAGGACAATAAACAGTGAAGCACTTGTCAAATCTGGATCACAAGTTAGTAGTTAAAATTAACTCATCCGTAAACTCCTGAATAGCAGAAACAGATGAAATATCAAAAGGCCAGTGAGACTGCCCACTCCCTACCTATTTAAAGTCAATGGAGTAAACTACTTAAAAGCTGTTTCCATGCCCATAGTTTCTTAGGGTACCTATGGACAAATTGGGAGCTCTGGTGGCCTAGTGGTAACAGTCGCATTGCCAACCCAAAGGCAGGCAGCTCTAATCCACTGGCTGCTCTACTGGAGAAAGACAGGCAATCTCTGTGTGATTTACAGCTTTGGAAAGCTCACTGGAAAGTCAGCTGAGTCAGTCCCAACTCAATGGCACATAGTATCAACGATACACGAGAATTACAATACATTCGGAATACATTACCATCTTTTTATAATTAAGACCCCCCCCCAAAAAAAAAAAAGCCAGGTATTTAAGATTGGGTAGTCATTCTGACACTTCCTTGAATTTTGGTATCCTTGTACTGACTGAAATGTCTCAGAGCTTTCTTTTCCCCCAAATAAGTTCCTTTTAAAGTTTTGAATGAGTAACTAGAAGGCTCAGCACAAAATATCCCATCAAAAGAATAAGGATTTCCTTATTTTTCCTTAAAGAAGTGTGGGGAAAGGCAACTTACAAACCTGATATTTTAAAGAACTCCTTAATATCTTCCTTCAGTGATTCAAGTTTAATCTCAGGTCTCTGAAGACAGGCCTAATTGTTAAAAAGAAGGAGGAAAAGACAGAGGTTAAAATTAAATTAGAGAAGATGATATAAACATTACTGGAGAAAGGAGAATGGTATTCGGAAAACCCTCTTTGAAATCAGAGCAACTCAGAATTACCTTAACTAGCTCATGAGAGAAAAGACTTTTCACCTGCTCTTATTAAAAGGTCTGTGATAGTATGTTGTAATCCATTCAAAATGTAAAAACTTAAAGTTCATGAGTAATCACCATCTTTATCGAGGGAGAAAAACTCGCAGATTTCACAAATTCATTTTCCTAATATTATATTAAAACATGGCAATACCTAGTGACCAAAAGTGTATTCTGCCCAGCTGCACTCTTATAAATAGGGTCTTTGTAGAGGGCCTATCTTCTTGGTTTACTGCACTTACTGGTAATATTTAAGGAAAATAGATAACATTTTTAACTCATTCTTGTCTACTGTCATCTTCAAGTGCATATTTTCACTTCTACTTATTTCTAAACTGTAATTTTTACTAAAAATAATAACTTTTATTATTATAATGGCTTCAATCACTCTCAGAGCATTCCCATTTCATCACCTAAATCTCTCCATCAACTCCAAGAAACCTATTTCTTAAAATGTATTTCTACTGCTTATCTCACCAGCAGTTCCCACCTGTTGCTGTTTGGTACCATCACAGCAACCTATGAACAGCAGATCTGAACTTGGCCTGACCCTGTACCGTCCTCATGGTCTCTGTCAGGCTCAAGCCCACTGCAGTGTCACTGTGTCAAACTAACTTGTTGAGGGTCTTCTTCTCCTCTCCCAGCAAGATATCCCTCTCCAAGGGCTGGCTTCTCTTTAGAATATGCCTAAAGGAAGTGAGATGAAGTTTCACCATCCTTGCCTCTAAAGAGAAGTCTGCTTACAATTCCTCTGAGATAGAACTTCAGCTCTTTTGGTAGTCCATGGAAAATTCAGTATTCTTCTCCAAGATCACAATTCAAAGGCATCAACTCTTCTGTCATCCTTACTCACTGTCCAACTTTCAGATGCATAGGAAAAAATAGAAAATATAGTGGCTCAAATAAGTTTTTAAACTGACATCCTTGTTCTTTAGAACTTTCAAGAGGTTCCTGATAACAGATTACTCCAAGGCAACACACTTTTTGATTTCTTGATTGCTGCTACCCTGGGTGTTACTGGTAGATCCAAGTAAAATGAAATTCTTCACAACTTCACTCTTTTCTCCATCTATCATAATGTGACCTATTATCCTGTTGTTACCTAACCTGGGACCAATGGGAGAGCATTATGCTAAGTGAACTAAGTCATAAGGACATAAGGACAAGTACTGTATAAGAGCATTATTGTAGAAATAGAAAGATAACTAGTAAAATGTATATGAGAATCCAAGTGGGGGGGAGGCAGAAGGGTAAGGATGAGCAGGGGGTAATCATAGGATTGCACAATTTGATGGGTGGAGGGAGGAGCAGGTAAAGGAAATGGGAAAGATCTGGTGTGGAAAACAATGTATATGAACTCTGTAAGTAAACCAGTATAAAAAAATTTACTTTAAAAAAAAAGGAAGAGAAAATTACATGGAGTCATTGTAAAAAAAAGAATTGGTCAACACAGACATATTTCAGGAAGTAGGATATGATATAGAGCCAACAGTGATGAAGGAAGACATTCAAACTGCATTGAAGGATTTAGCCAAAAATAAGGACCCAGGATTCAAAGAGCTATCAAGTGACATGTTCCAAATACCAAATGCAGCCCTGGACATGCTCAGCAGGCTGGACAGGAAAACCTGGGGGAGATCTGGCTGGCTGACTGGCAGATACCTTATTTGTTCCAATTCCCAAGAAAGGTGATCCAACAGAATGTGGAGATTATCAAATAATATCATTAATACAACATGCAAACAAACTATTGTTGAAGACCATAAAAAAAAAAATGGTTTGAATAGTACATTGACAGAGAACTGCCAGAAGTTCAAGCTAAGTTTAGAAATGGGCATGGCACCAGGGATACATCAGAAGAATATCTGTTTATGTTTGACTACGCAAAGGCACTCTACTGTGTGGATTATAACAAAACTATGGCTAACCTTGACAAGAATGGGGATTCCAGGACTTTTAACTGTGCTTATATGAAGAATATTGCCTGGCCTCGTCTTCTGCCTGTGCGGCTTCCAGGCTCCCCGGTGGCGTGTCCCACAGTTTCCCTTCTGTGCCTCCCGACCGGCCATCACTCTTGGCACCAGCAGCCAGGAAATAAAAAAACATATTGCGATGGGAAAGGCTGCGGTTAGGGACCTCTCCAAAGTACTCAAGAGCAACGGTGTCTCACTGGAGACTAAGGTGTGCCTGATACAGGCCATGGTCTTTGCAATCACTTGTTATGCATCAGAGAGTTGGACAATGACTAGGGAGGACAGAAGGAGAATTGATGCCTTTGAGCTGTGGTGCTGGAGAAGAGTATTGAATGTACCATGGACTGCCAAGATCATCCTGGAGAGGGTTCAACCAGGCTACTCCTTGGAGGGAAGGATTCTGGGGCTTCGTCTGACATACTTTGGACATGTTATAAGGAGAGACAGGTCCTTGGAGAGGGACATCATGCTTGGTAGGGTGGAGGGACAGCGCAGGAGGGGAAGACCCTCTATGAGGTGGATTGATTCAGTGGCTGGGGTAATCAGGATGGGTGTGTCAGAGGCAGTGCAATTGGCACAGGATAGAGCAGGGTTTAGGGCTGTTGTACATAGGGTCGCTATGAGTCGCAAACGACTCGACGGCACTTAACAACAACAACAACATATGAAATCTATACCTAGAATAAGAGGCTGTTGTCTGAGCAAAGCAAGGAAATACTACATGGCTTAAAACTGGAAAAAGTATGCATCAGGGCTATATTCTCTCTAGAAACCTATTTAACCTGTATGCTGAGCAAATCATTTGTTGCTATAGTTATATGTGCCATCAAGTTACCTGCGACTCATAGTGACCCCATATACAAATAGCTCTGAAGCCAACCCTGTCCTTTGCCAGTTTCACTGACTTCAGCACATCTACCCTCATTACCCCAGTTACTGGGATAATCCATCTCATTTGGGGTCTTCTCCTGCGCTATCCCTGCACCCTTCCAAGCATGATGTCCTTCTTCAAGGACTGGTCTCTCTTGGCAACATGCCCAAAGTATGTCAGACATACTCAGCTTCAAAATCCTTGCCTCCAAGGAGAAAGTTGGTTTCATTCTCTCCAAGACAGACCTGGTCCATGGAATGTTCAATAGTCATCTCCAGCACCACAACTCAAAGGCATTGATTCTTTTTTTGTCATCCTCAGTCACTGTCCACCTTTTGATGCTTAACAAGCAGTTGCAAGACCATGGCCTGGATCAGACACACCTCAGCTTCTAGGCTGACATCGTTGCTTCTCAGTACTCTGGAGAGGTCCCTGACAGCATACATTCCCAGTACAATTCATCATTTGACTTCCTGACTTCTGGTGCCAAGAGTGTTCATTGTGGAGCCAAGCAAACTGAAATTGTTAATACTTCAATCTCTTCTCCATCTACCATAGTGCTGCCAATTGGCCCATTGGTACAAAAAAAAATCTTCGTTTCCTTGATGTTGAGCTTCAATTCATATTGAAGACTACAGTCCTTGACCTTCTGCAGCAAGCACTTCAGATCCTCCTTAGTTTCAGCAAACAAGGTTGTGTTGTCTGCTTAACTTAAGTTGCTGATGAGTTTTCCTCCAATCTTGATACCACATTCCTCCTCATAAAGCTCAGCCTCCCATCCCAAACGATCAGTTTCACATATAGATCAAAAACGTATGGAGACAGGATGTATCCCTGACAACCACCTTTCCTGATTTTGAACCACGCAATGTTTCCTTCTGACCCCTGATTCCTGGTCCAAGTATAGGTTTTAAATGAACATAATCAAGTGTTCTGGGATTCCTATTCTTCTCAAAGCTAGCAGCAATTTGTGTGATCCACACAGTCAAATAGTTTGCATAGTCAATGAAACACAGACAGACATTCCTCTGATATTCTTTTGGCCAAGATCCATCTGACATTGGTGATAATGTATGTCTCTACTGCCACGGTATCTTCTAAACTCAGTTTATATTTCTGGTAGTTGTTGGTTGATGTACTATTTCAGTTGTTTTTGGATAATCTTCAGCAGGATTTTGCTTACATGTGATGTTACTGATATTGGTCTATAATTTACACATTCTGTCCAGTCCCCTTTTCAGTGGAATGGGAATAAATATGGATCTTTTCAAGTCAGTTGACCAGTTAGTTGTCATCCAGCTTTCACCAGGCACATTCAGGAGAGTATCTGTTTGTTGAAATCATTTGAGAACCCAGATTTATGAAGAGATGTGTAGCAGTAGGATTGAGGTAGGTTTATCAACAACATGTATTATGTAGATGACACATCTTGTTTCCTGAAAATGAAGAAGACCTGAAGTGCTTACTGCAGAGAATCAAGGACTACAGACTTCAATACTGATTACACCTCAATATCAAGAAAACATAAATCCTAACCACAAGACCAAAAGGCAGCACCATGACAGATGGCGACAAGACTGACACTGTCAATTACTTCGTCTTGCTTGGATTCCGGGTCAATACCCTCATCAGCAGTCAGGAGATAGGGAGATAAATAGCAGTGGGAAAGTCTACTATTATGGATCTCTTCAAAGTCCTGCAAAGCAAAGATGACAGTCTAAAGAGTAAGGTGACTCTAACTCAGGCACTGTCTTTCCAATAATCTGCTATGCATCTGAGAGCTGTATAATGAGTAAAGAGGATAGAAGAAGAATTGATGAATTTGAGTTGTGCTGGTGGAGCAGAGTATTGAATACCCCATGGACTAAAAGGAAAAGAATTTATCCTATAACTAGCAAGATGGGTATAAATGTCCAAAAAGGGAAGGGCAGGGGCAGGCGAGTGCAGGGTGGAGAGGGGAAGAAATCACTAGAAGAAGAGAGTATGGTGAGTG